TCCCAGGGTCGTGCAATCCCTTTTTGCAACCTTCTGACAAGCAAAGTCAATGGGGAAGCCAGATTCACTTCACAACCGTGCTACTAATTTAACAACTGCAGCGATTCACTTAACAAATGTGGCAAGAAAAGTCGTAAAATGGGAGCAAAAGTCACTTAACAAATTAGCAACATAAATCCTGAGCTCAAACGTGGTTGTAAGTCAAGGGCTACCTACCTGAACACGCTTTCTTTGTTTGGCGACCACAGTCCATTCCATAAATCAGAAGCGAAATGGTCGCTAAGTGAACACATGATGAAGACAGAGAGAGATGTTCCAAAGGTCATTGGTTGCTGCCATCTTATTCAGATAAAGTTATTTTATGCAGCAATGCCAGGGTTACTCTCACTTTGGCATGCATTCTTATCAATTGCAGAAATCTGGTTGTAAGTGTCAGTATTGCTTGGAATTTTTTATTTTTTATTATTATTACTATTAAGGTAGTATTCCCAAATGGTCACGAAACAAGGTAACTGCTAATTGAGGAGTGGCTATGGCTCACCATTAGTTAAAGAGACCGAATTTAGCAAATGAAAAAAGGACAGTGTACTTTCAGGATTATTCTATCCTATGATTGTATCCAATTTTCCTTGGATTTGATTGCTAGAATTTGTAGAAATTACTACTTCTAAAATAATACTGACGATGTGTGAGTAAATACAATCCTTGGAATGAATACTGTGAAAACTAATTAGATGGTGCCTCAAGTTAGTGTATGTGTGTCATTTTTAATTCAGAAGTATTCGTGCTTGGGAATGCTATTAATTCATTTTAAAGCATATTTCTGCTGCTTCCAATTAATGTTCTGAAATTCCAAAAGTATGTTTCTTCCTGGTAATAGAGAACCGAGGTGAATAGCAATGCCACTGCAAGATAAATTATGAGGGAAAAGGACATCATTCTATGAAATATTTTAAATTGGCTGACTTTTTTTAGAGGAACACTCTCTTACCATTGTTATGTACAAAAGTATAGATCTATAATAAAGAAAATGTGTTTGTGTTAACAGCGCAAGTTTCACTGTGCTAGTATGACTTCCTGGCCATCGTGGTTGTATTCTTTATACGATGCTGTAAGTATCAATGAAGATTTCCAGCCTGCTTTGTATTGTGTTCAACTATTTGCAGTCTTGTGTGTTCTTTTGGATTGTCCAATTAGCTGGCATACATATATTGTTTTTGGGCATTCCTGTGATGTTGAATTGTGTTGTTACTCTGCTTGGTTTATTTGCTTTATTTGCATGCAGAAAGCAACCCCCAGTTGTGTCAACATCATAAAGATATACTGACATAACTCCAAAATAATTAAATAATAGTGCAATAAGCAAACGGTGACCATTCTCCAAATGTCTTGCAGAACAAGTACCTTGATTAACTTCCAGAAGTGTCACAATGAGGGTCTCAGCTTAATCTGAGGAGGGGGATTACTAAAATGAGGAGTGCATCTAAGAAGCATTGTCTGCACATTCTTCATATAACAAAGCCCTAAAAATCTATTTAAAACCAATGGGATGTGTGCACTTGGCAGGGATGTACACAAGAGATGCCATTTCTATACAAGGGAGGCAATTCTGAGCTATCTAAGTGCCAAGCTATATGAGTCCCTTATAGCTTAAGTTCATATCTATAGATATCTTGAATTCTACCTATAAACCTGTGGTAACCAATGCAGTACCCATACATTGAGTACTGCATTGTATACAATGAGGGTATTTTCCAGTTGCAGCCATGTAGAATATATTGCTGTAATTTGACTTGAGACAATAAGTGCATGAATTACTGTGACTAGGGTCTCCCAGTCCAGGACTGGCTAGAGCTACCTAGAACCCCACAATAATCTGGGTCCTCATTTTACCCACCTTGGAAGGATGGAAGGCTGGGTCCACCTTGAGCCGGTGAGAATCGAACTGCTGAACTGCCGGCAGCCAGCAGTCAGCCGAAGTAGCCTGCAGTACTGCATTCTAACCACTGCACTACCACGGTTAGGCACTTGTTCTCCAAGATTTTCAGGCCTATGGTGGATCTTTGATGAGGGGAGGTGTCAGTAGCTACTTTAAGGAGGAACCTCTCCGGTCAATGAAATTTTACTTCAAATTTCCAAAGCAGATCTGATTTTACAAAAAGTTAGAGGATTTTCCGTTTTTCTACCCTATTTATGGAGGCTGCTTTAAAGCACCACATGTTTGCTTGTTATAAAAAGTATGCCATTGTGGTTGAAAAATCATCACAGAAATGTATATAATTAATAAATTAAATAAGGTGTCTTCAGCAAATGAAACTCCTTCTGTTGAGTTATTATCTGTATTGTGTTAAATTGCCACTATTTTCATTTTGCTTTCCATTCTGCGCTATTCGTTAGTCTACTAGTATTTGGCAATAAAGACGTATACTTAGAATAAGTTCATGAATTCTAGTTTCTGTTGGGGAAAAAAAAACATTTCAAGGCATAGTTAAGTTCTGTGGAGTAGTAGCTATGCCAATGTCTCACCCTCAGTTTATCCTCTTCATGATCCAGGGCCAGCTTCATCTCCATTCTATCGATGAAGAAGAACCTTTGCATACATACAGTAGACATTTGTGTCAAGTAATTGGGAGAGGGGCAAAGCTTTCTGCCCTGAATTTTTCAAACAAGGTTTCCACCTTGAATTATTCAAACAAGGGAGGAGGTGGTCTTTACTACTGGTGAATGATTCATCTTAATGTTGTTTGTTAATATTTCTCCCAATGTTCAAAATATAGCATATTAGTTTTAAAGAGCTTAAACTGCAGTTCTAATGAGAAACACATTTTTCTCGACAATTTCTTTTTTCTGATTTTGTTAACAAAAAAAGAAGTTTTTATGTTTAAATTAGGTTTTTCTTATAACACAAGGAAACCTTGATGGAACGAGTCAAGCAACAGCTTCATGAGTGGGATGAAAATCTTAAAGATGAATCACTTCCAGAAAACCCAATAGGTACATTATTTATTAAATAATGAGTTGTATTGTTGGTAATAGTCTTCATCAAATCAGTTTATTAGTTAATTAGTTAACTGATCCTACATCACAACTGAGTTACAGAGCAGCCTTCTGCAGCCTTTGTATATTTACTGTGACTTTTATATAAAGAGGTAAAATTGGACCCACCTACCCAAGTTGTTAAGAGCCGAGGTGGCACAGTGGTTAAATGCAGCACTGTAGGCTACTTCAGCTGACTGCAGTTCTGCAGTTCGGCTGTTCAAATCTCACCGGCTCAGGGTTGACTTAGCCTTCCGTCCTTTCGAGGTGCGTAAAATGAGGACCCGGATTGTTGTTGGGGGCAATATGCTGACTCTGTTAACCGCTTAGCTGAAAGCCCTATGAAGCGGTATATAAGTCTAACTGCTATTGCTATTGTTAGAAGAACATCAAAAGAGCTACATGTTACACTCTTGTGTGGCAACCATTTGCAGTATCTTGTGTGT